AATAAATTAAATTGTAAAGAATATATAACTTACTTTTATATTTTAAACCTAAAAAAATCTCTAAAATATTATTAAACATGGCTCAAAATAATGAACCAGACTCATAAATAAATGGAAAACAAAATTCTATTTATAAATATATAATTTCCAAGTTAACACACAAGTATTATCAACCCCAAAGTTTTAAGTAACTCTGTATCATTTACACACAAGGAGTAATTATTGATGAGAAGTGTTTCCCCACGGAGCTCCCAAGCTGCTCAGGGGAGATTTTTCTAGATTCGCCTTTTGGGAAGGATAGGGGAGCCATGAGGAAGTGAAAGAGCAACCTGAGAGAAACAGGCTCTAACAGCCTTTGAGGTGTGAAGCCATCCCTACTGCCACACTTTTTGACAGCCATGGAAAAAAACCCCAAGTAACAAAATACAATAATAAACAAATGGAATAAGAAAAATTTAAGCAAAATAAAGGCAAGGTAAAAGCTAAAAGAAGATTAAATTTAAGAAATTAAAATTCTTATTTTTTAAAAAGAATAACATTTTTAAAAATATAAAATATTAGGGCTGGCAGGTTAGCTCACTTGGGAGAGGGTGGTGCTGATAACACCAAGCTCAAGGGTTTGGATGCTTGCACCAGCCAGCCACCTAAAAAAACATGTAAATACATACAAAAATTTTAAATAAGATAAACTGAAATCTGTCAAGCAAAAGTAATTAAATATGAAAGAAATGAGAAGGGAAATATTAAGAGTTTAAAATTAGAAAGACAAAAATAAATGCTAGAAATGTAAAAATAATGTACGATATTTTATTAAATAAGTTTATTTAAGGTAAAGAAAAGAGTCATGTTCAAGGAATAAAGAATTAAACTAAACAAAAATCCTGTAACAACAAATGACATTTCAGGCTCTGCAGGACATACAGTTTGTTGTAACTGCTCTATTCTGTTGGTGTAATGTGAAAGCAGTCATGGAAAATACATAAATGAATTATCATGGCTGTGTTTCAATAAAACTTTATTTATAAAAGCAGACACCTGGCTGGATTTTGCCTTCAGGCCATAGTTTGCCAACCCCTGATTAAAATGATCTTTACATTAATGATGTTGATCATATGACCTATTAAATATGTCTAAAAGTATAAAACTTCTAATTCTTTATGTCATTTAAGTGCAAAACAGTTGTAAAATTTATTAAATTTCATGGTTGTTTTTGATTATAAGAATGCAATTAAAGCTTAACTTTGAAGTTCTTTTGGCAATCTCATTTCTATTTACAACTTAATGCCTGTAATAAATTATAGATTTTTTTCAGCTTACCTTGGTAAAGTTAAGTGCATAAATAAAATAACCAAAGAACTCTTCTCAATTTCCCATTTCCTTAGAGTGAGATATTGATTTTCAACATCTATTGGAAAATAAACAGCATGGAAAAAATATCCCATTGTCTCATACATTCTTTTAAGTTTAGGTGCATAGTCCTAAAAACAAATTAAAACATATAAAAGCATAATATATTTAACTAAAGGTCTAGTGAGATCCACACTACTTAAAAAAGCATACTTTAGAACAGGTTATATTGGATATTTTCTAATATAAAATGTAAAAAGTAATACTACAATCACATTTTAAAGAAAATCTTGAAGAGGCAAGTTTCTCTCTAAGACATACATAATAGCTTAACAACTTGCCTCTTTCCTACCTCAGAAAGTGATTTATTTTATAATAAATTTAGAACAACAGGAATAAGTATTAGGCTATCTTGGTGTGGTATTTGTTTCTTTTTGTCATTATTATTACTGTAAAAATTTACTTAATTGTTATAAAGACCACAAAATATAGATTTACATAGTAAATAGCATCCACCAATATATTAGAACACTAAAGCAGAGAGATATGTTAAAAGCATGTTGGTCTATAATAAATTAGGTTACTAAGTATTGATAAATATTAT